GGAGGCCCTCTCCCCCGCGCCAGTGCGGGGCAGGGGACAGCCCTCGCCGGGGAAGCCGGTCCTCACGGGGCCCGCCGCCCCGGTCAGGAAAATCTTCGTGAAACAAGTAGCTAAAACCCACCGCGGAGCCACCCATGCTCGTGTTTGAACGAGCGCCTGGGTGTTGCTGAGGGGAGGTGGAAAGGTAATGCCGCCTGGTTAAAATGTCAGCGTAAAGAAAAAAAAAAAAAATCTTATTGGTGTGGTTTAGAGGCGTTTTTAATGTGTCTAGGCAGGTGGGAGAAGATTAAAAGAGAAGGGTTAGCGGTGTGTCAGCAGTTGGATCGCTACAGGCTCTTGGAGTTAGGAGCTGTTGCCGTGAGTGTAAGAGACAGAAATAAATGTTTACATCTGTTCTGTTTCTCATTAGTTTTCTGTTCCTGAATGTTTCCATCTCTGTCAGCATAGGCTTGTCAGTTCGTTCTGAGCCTTTGGATTTGATTCTCTTCCACTGCTGTGGGCTGGGGATCAAAATCCTGCAGGGGAAACCTGGGACAAATAAATCCTGTTCTCAGCTAAGTAAAACTGTGATATTTTGATTTTTCTCTTGTAAAACACTTTTCCTTTCACCTACGCAGCTTGGGAGTCCTGATACTCTACTGCTCTTCCTAAAGCTGTGTTTCATTCTTTCCAGGACGAGTAGTTTTGCTCCGGTGCTTCAGCAAGGTACTATAGCGCTCATAACCTTGAACAGATTGTAATCACAGTCAGAGAATAGCAGCTTCAGTTTTACCCATGTGTCTGTGTATATTTATTGTACATACATACCTGCAGGTAGAAGGCAGAAATGGAAAAACTTGGGTTCTTGCTTGTGCACTTACCCCTTGTTTAGTAGGTCTCGATTAATGCTTGTATAGAATGTGTTCACCTGAAGCTTACTGCAGTATCATGGCTTTCTTCTCGATTTTAAAATATCCTTTTATATTAAAGTCCTTTCTTTTGTAAATACCCCGTGCTTTTGAGATGGCCAGGATACTAAGTTTGCAAAACAATCAGCTTTGCTCTTGGAAAACAGAAGTAATTTGGATTGCATTTCACAGAAGAAAACAGCTTGTCTGATGGTAGTTAAGTCATTTCATAAATTCCAGCTTGCAGGTGGCAGCTTGCAGAATGGGAAAACGTATTCAGATGATTTTGTTTGGTCTAACTTCTAGACAATCAGAAGGCATAATGATGATGATGCTTTTTCTTCTACTGTTTTTCTTTGCTCGCCTTTTATAAAGATACTGGTGTACACAGCACTCATTTAGGTGTTTCAGTGGTTCACAGTGGTGATTTCAGCTGCCTTCTTCACATATGTGCCATTAGCTTAGGGAAATTTAGTAAAGAAATAAAGTGAGTTGCTTTTATTTTATGAACAGCTTCAGATGCTGGAAATTCGCTTGCATCACCCCCTCCTCCTCTTCCTCTTCCCCCCTGTTCTCTCCACATTTTGGGTTGATAAATCTGTAAGTCTTCATTCTTACCTGGCTAGACCAGGGTTCTTTGATGCTGATAGGGCAGGAACAATGAAGAAATATAATAAAAGCTTGCATATAAATACGTGAAACTAATTTATTTTGTTTGCTAGCACTCCCAGGCTGTCTTATTATGGAAGATCCTGTCTCTTTGACTGACAGTATCAGTGCAGATTTTCTCTGGAATCATGTCAATCCATAGAATTGTATGTTCTTTGAAAACGAGCGAGGAGGAGGAAACCCAGCCAGCCCCCAACCAAAACAAAAATACACCTTTCATTAAATTATCATTAGAAATATAAAGAAATTCTCTTTTAAACGTTTTGTCTACTGTGTCGAACATAATCAATGGCTTTCATTATTTGAAGTGGTTATTATTAGTCATGGTTCTGCCATACGTTAAGTCACAGAATCATAACTATTTTGTAGCTCATTTAAACTGACCCATGGCCCGGTAAAGTGATTGGAATAACTATGGGGTCAGTCAGCCTTGAATCAGACTGTAAAAGATAACAGAGGTGTTGCCTTTCTGCCTCAAATGGATTTTGTCTGTGAAAGCAAAAAGAATTAACTCCTTGCACTTAAAGGACGTATTAAAATAAACGTTTGGAAGTTGTTTATGCTTGAAAAGTAGTACTGAAGAAAGGATCACTTCTACATTTGTAATGTGGTATTGTACACACTTATACAGTATATTGCATTTTAATACCACAGTATTTACATCCATTTTCCTAATAGTTTGTATTCCTGCAATTCAGCTGCAGAACATTGAAAAGAAATGATTGAGTTTTACTTTCTAGTGTTATAAGCAAGTCTATTTACTCACCAAAATTTTAATGGATATAATCGAACACTTGAGAAAAATAAATGGGAATTGAAGCTGCTTATATTACATTCTCTGATTAAATTTCCAGGTTTTAAATGGATCCAAGAATGTTGTCTAGCTTTTTCAGTGGATTTTAGTCCTGCTTTCAAAAGAAGTAAAGTAAGATTGATGAAAATAGAGCTTTAAAGTCTTTCTAAAATTTCTTCCCTTTTCTAAGTAAGAAAAGACCTGACCATTGAGCATTTAGCAAAAGGAGGGGAGGACTGGCAATTGACACCTTCGGCTTCTGTCTGCTTGTGCCAAATGATGTGAATAGCTACGTCTTGTTAACAAACCTCAAAGTACGCAATGCTTTAAATAATGAAGTGACAAATACAAAATTATGGGTTACATTTAAGACTGTGCCTTTTTGGTTTTTTCTGCTTCATATAGCTTTGTTTGCAAGAAACCGTACGGTTAATCGCCCTGGCCTTTCTGGTTTCTGTGGTGCCTGTACAGTTTGAACTTTTACCAGCTAATCAATTTCTTCTTGCAATGTATTTTCTCTGTGCTCTGTGGCGAGTCAGTAGTCCACCTGAGGTGTGCTTGCATTGCATCAAAAAACTCAAAGGGACTAGAGGAAATTCTGGATTTAGCAAAGGTACCTCGAGCTCCAGAGGTTGATGTGTGTCTCAGGGAATTCTATACTGAAAGAAATCTGTTGCAGTAATCTGAATTAATAATGATGTTTGGACATGAAAAGTTACTTTTTTGTTATAGTAGCATCTTACTCGTCTCAGACATAGGTCATCCTTCTTTGTGGGTGTGTACTTTACACGCAACAAAAAGATATCCTTGCCACAGAGAATTTTCAGTTTCTACCTGTGTTGTACAACTCATCTGGTCACGAGCTGCATGTGTAGTTAGAATTTTTCTGTATGTGGTCCACTCCTGAGCACACCTTTTTCAGAAACTTCGTGGGAGTGAATTGTGGGTGTATCTTGTCCACTTGCGCCCAGGCACTGTATTTCCTACCTATCCTGTGACCCCTTCATATGACTATATGCCAGCTAGATTTACCACATTCTTCTCATGCCACCCTTTTCCTAGTAAATGCTTTGAAAAGAATATTTATCTCCAGGCTGAGAGATCAGGTTGCTTAGCCAGAACAGCCATGGCCATATGTTAGTAAGACTTGAATTTACCCCACAAGCGCATCCCGGTTTACTTCTGAAGTCTGCTTTACTCATATCAAATTAGATTTGCTAATGAGGTAGTAGAGGGGCATGGCATACTTCTGAAGTCTGCTTTACTCATATCAAATTACGTGTACATAACAGATTTGCTAATGAGGTAGTAGAGGGGCATGGCTATTTGTTGCTAAAATAAATTCATACAGTCCATCTGAGTGAAAAGCTTGGTTACTGTTGGTGAAGACTATTGAGGCTTTTTTGTGGTGTCTTCAGGGGTCTGCTAGTCTGTTTAGTGAATGTTGTTCTTCAGTAGTTTAAAAATAGTCTGAACAGTTCTTGTCTTATCATTAAAATGTATTAGCTGGAAAAAGTCTTCCTGAAATATTTAATGTAAAAGATAGAGTCATTTTAATGTCTTTATTTGTTGGAAAAGAAGAGGAGGCTGCATGTCTGAAATCTGGAATAAGAATAATGGTGTATATAGAGATTTTCATGTTCATCACAGATACTGGTATGTTTAATCGATTATATATGTGAGTGTTGAAGTTGCACTGTATGTCAGGGCAGCTGCAACAAAAGTCATTTTTAGCTAGGCATATTTGGCCTACCACTATCTTCAACAATACAGAAAGATTGATATGGGAGATGGTCCAGGAGAGCTGGTTGTTTTTCAAGGTTCACCTCTTACAAGCTCAAGAATGGTCCATCCCCACGTGCAGGACATCAAGCAAAGGTGGCAGGAGGCCGATATGCATGAATGAGAAGCTCTTGACAAAGCTTATACATAAAAGGGAAGCACACAAAAGATGGAAACAGGGTCAAGTCACCCCAAGAGTAGTATGGAGATGCTGTCTGAAAGTGCAGGTATGCTGTTAGGAAAGCCAGAGCCCACCTGGAGTTCAGTCTGGTGAGGGATTCAACTTGTGAAAGGCAAGAAAAAGGGCTTCTGTAGGTGTATCAGCAGCAAAAGGGAGACTAGGGAAAATGTGGGCCTGTTTCTGAATGGGGGAAGGGACTCGGTTAGAACAAGGACATGGAGGAGGGCGAGGAACAAAAAACCCTCTTTGCCTTGGTCTGTACTGGTAAGGCCCATCTTCAGCAATCCCAGGCCCCTGAAACTCATGGGAAAGTCTGGAGCAAGGAAGAGTTACTCTCACTGGAGGAGGACCAGTTTAGGGAACATATAAACTGAACATATACAAGTCCACAGGACCTCCTGGGAAGCACTCACAAGAGCTGATGGAGCTTGACGATGTCAATGCAAGGCCACTCTTGATAACCTTTGAAAGGTCATGGTGACTGGGGGAGATTCCTGAAGTCTAGGAGAGAGCAAATGTCTCCCCTGTCTTCAGGGAGGGCAAGGAAGAGAATCTGGGGAAACTACAGGTCAGTGTCACCAGTGGCCAGTGTCACCTCCATCCCTGGGAAGGTGGTGAAGCAAATAATCCTGGATACCATTGCCAAACAAGGAAGGACAAGACAAATACATGAAGGACAAGAAGGTGATTGGGAGGAAGTCAGCATGTTTTTATGAAGGGGCAATCATGCTTGACCAACCCAAAAGACTTCTGTGATGAGATGACTGCCTTCATGAATGTGGGAAAAGCAGTGGATGTTGTTTATGTCAGCGTTAGCAAGGGGTTCAGTACGGGGTCCTGTAACGTCATACGCAAACTGATGAAGTATGGGCTAGACATGTGGACAGTGAGGTGGACAGAAAACTGTCTGACTTGCTGAGCTCATGGGCTCTGATCAGTGGCATGGTGCACTCCAGGGCTTGATAATGGCTCCAGTAGTGTTTAGCCTCTTCATTAATGACCTGGACAATGGGACATAGTGCACCCTCATCAAGGTTGCAGAGGATACAAAATGGGCAGGAGGGGTTGATGCACCAGCTGGTTGTGCTGCTGTTCAGGGGGGACCTGAGCGGGCTGGAGAAATGGGCAAACAAGAAACGTGGAAGACCAGGTTCAATGAAGGGAAATGCTAAGTCCTGCCCCTGGTGAGGAGTCACCCCGTGCACCAGTGAACACTGGGGGTAAACTGTCTGGAAAGCAGCTTTGCAGAGAAGGACCTGAGGGTCCTGTTGGGCAACAAACTGGCCATGAAGCAGCAGTGTGCCATTGTGGCAAAGACAGCCAGCAGCTTCCTGGGCTGCGTTAGCAAGAGTGTTGTCAGCAGGTCAAGGGAAGTGATCCTTCCCATTTGCTCAGCCCTGGTGAGGCACAGCTGGGGTGCTGTGTCCAGGTCTGGGATCCTCAGTTCAAGAGAAACATAGACATACTGGAGTGAGCCCAGCAAAAGACTGTAAAGATTATGAATAGATCAGAGCACCTGACATACGAGGAGAGGCTGGGGGAGCTGGGGCTGTTCAGCCTGGAGAAGAGAAGGTTCAGGGAGGATCTTACTAAGGTGTAAATTCCTGATGGGGGTCAGTAAAGAAGACGGAGCCAGACTCTGGTGCCTAACAGGACACGAGGTAGTTGGCACAAACTGAAATACAGGAAATTCCATTTAAAGTCCTCTTTTTTTTTTTTTTACTTTAAGAGTGATTAAACACTGGAAGAGGTTGCTTTGAGAGTTTGTGGAGTCTCTGCCTTAGGATATAGTCTACACTACCTGACTAGCCAAGGTCCTGAGCATCCTGCGGGGGGCGGGGAGGGAGGGGCGGTTGGACTAGGTGATCTTCAGGGGTCCTTTCCAACCTCAACAATTCTGTGGTTCCGTAATACGAAGATGAAGTAGGTTGTTGAAATAATTCCCTGAAGAGCTTTATCTATGCTCTCAAAGACATAGTATGAAATAGGTCTTTTTTTCCCAGGTTATCTGAGTATTGTTTGACTTGTTTCAAGGATCATGTGCATTAATATTTTATAAATCTTAGAAGCAGTGTAGCATGGGTTATTGAATGTTATGGTGAGAGAGGCAGCATCTCTTGTCAATCACGGTTGTTTCAGGTCTCATGTGTGCCATTCCTCAGCTGCATATTAAAAAGTGAAAGTCATGAAAATTCTGCTTGCATTCAGTTTTGTGAATAAGCTGAATTTATGAGATGGTGGTACTTCAGGTTGATACTATGTAATTAATACATTTTGCGGAATAAGGGTGTTTTGTGTTGATCTTGTAATTAGGATTGTGTCAAGTAGAAGATGTGTATCTGGTTTGTGTAGGGGTAGGTATTCCTTATCTGGAGCTCTGAGGACTGTTATGTTGGAGGAGGAGGAGGAAAATGATCAGAACATGCTGTCAGCAAGGGATATAATATAATTGATGAAATTTGGTCTTCAGCTGAAAGAGCATAGGGATATGGCTAATCAGAGATGAAGCACCACAGGCTTTGGGCAATCTTGTCTTCTTGCTTTCCTATGTTCCAGGTCTGCAGCGTGTCAAAGGAATTGCCAGTTGCTAGCAATTCACTTTGAAATCAATTTCAAGCAATAAATAATTTAAACTTGCAGTGAGACACTCCACTTGAATCTGTTGATTTTTTTTTTTCCCTGTTTTTTAAGAAAACCATCTATTTGACCATGATGAGTACTATCTTGAATTCCTTCTAAATTATAGCAATTTACTTTCATTTGCATATCTTTAGTACCTTTAAGAAAAAGACTCCTTATGAAGAATCTTAGCAAAGCTTTCTTATGTTAAACAGAACTACTTTCACAAATGAGCAAGCTGAGACAAATTGATTAGATGACTACATCAACAAGAAACAAACAAACAAAAACCCCAGAACCCTTTTTTTATGATTATTTTACTAATACAAACTAGAAATGTATGCATAGGTAGTGTCAGTATGAAAGGGTTAAGATAATGCTAGGTCTGTGTAAATTAGCTCTTTGGGGTCTCTGTTCTTTTTGTAAACGTTTATTTGGATCTCTCGTACATTAATAAGTTTGACTGTTGTTCAAAGATGGCATTCAAAGTGTATGACAGCCATCTTCACATTTGATAGAAATTTCTGTCAGCTGCTGTCAGTTTCTGTGGTTCCACGTGAAGCTTTGGTAATCCAAACTTTAACCTAAAGATAGAGTGGAGTGCAGGTCTCCCACGTGATGGCACATTATGCTGTTGTCAAGTGAACTACTGGACTGAACAAATTTTATTTTTTTTTTAAATGGGATTTATTTGCCTGGAAGCCAAGATAAATTGGCTTCACATCAAAGAGTGATCTTTTCAGCAATGTACAGGAATAGAATTGTCAGGCAGCAAATGTATAAATTCTGTGAGAACGGACTGTCTTATGTTCATAAAGATTATTGCCAATATAGTATCATTTAATGTGGAAATCTACCTAAATGTTTTTTTTTCTTTTGCTGCAGAACTTTGTCAAGTGTGAAAATGAGCTCCTATAATATGAAAAAAGTCTGCTTTTTCTTTCAGCTTTTGCTGTAAGTGTAGTTCCTGACGGTGCAGAAGATGAGACTGAACTACCAGTGCTGCAGGTAATAAATTTTAATTGCCAGAGCAGGAACATTTTACAGACATTATAAAATCATCTAGAAGAGACCAGAGCAGAAAGCCTAACATCTGTGACTGATTATTTTGATCATTGACTTCAGTGGTACTAAATGTCAGATGATGTCTTTCTGTTTTGTGTGGCATATGAGAGACCTTTAATGAGACACAAGTTGCATGTAACACTATTCTAGTATTACTGGGATCTTAATTTATCCTATGGCTTCTTAGAACTATTAGAATAAACTTAGCACTTCTGATTTCTTTCTTATGCTGGATTTCTGACTTATGTTGATATTTGTACTAAGAGAATTAGGTTTTGGGGGTTTTGTTGTGGAACAAAATTATAATTAAGAAAACAATTATTTTCTTTTTTATAGGATGAGCTGAAAAGTGCATTAGAAACTTATAGTAAAAAAACCTTGGCATAGCTTCTGCAAGTTGATAGTGGTTTTGCTGTTGAGAATAGTTTTTGAGTATATGACTTTTATTAGTTCAGAGGCAGGTTTTCCTTTCTTCTTGGTTTTGTTAAATATATAATACGTTGAGAGGGAAATGGCTGCCTCTGCTAAATTAACATTATTACATATCGCTACCTAAGTCGCAGCTCAAGTGAAGCTTGCGTATGAAATTTCTAATTAACAGATTAGAAGAACTAATGGTCAGAGCTAGCCCTACGGTTAAACAGCATAATGGGTATTAGGTGTATATGCATGTGCGTCCTTTAACAGATTTCTATCTACCAATTTTTTTATATGTATGTATTTGTAACAGATATTTGTGTATGTATAAAACAGATTTAAGGGAAGAAAATGAAATAAAAGTACTGGAATCTGTAACTGCCATTTAGATCTAGAGATCTCACATCAAATACAAGAGAAGTATGGTCAAAGACATGTTTCTAAGTAATTTTTGGTTTTGATGATGATGGCTGTCATTTTCATAAATGAAAAAGATCCCGGTTGCAAACTGCTGATCTGCTGCAGTGTGTCTGGGAGACTAGGTAATGCATTCTGTTTTCATTACTTATAAGTTGCTGTTTGTCAAATTGCGTTACTGTCTCAATCCAGCTGTTTAATGTTATCATTCTTATACAGGATGTAATTTATGAAAGCTTTCCTACTATTTTAGAGTTTTGAAAGCTTCCCTCAGTTGAAGTCAGAGGTGCCTCCTATAACTCTTCAGCCCCAAATCCTTTTTTTTCCCTCCCTTTTTTTTTTTTATGCTAACAGGAATGTAATGGGCAACAATTGTTTGTTTTGTGTTTTAATAGAGGTAACTGTAAATTATGGCTTGTTCATCACACTGTGTACCACAAAACGCCTATCTTTTTGTTTGCATAGAAAATTAATCTTCCCAAGTTGTCTATGATATAGGTTAACTTAGAATGTGGTGCATATTATGCTGTAAGGTGGCAGTACTGCATATAGTCATCAAAATAACTTAGTCTTATAAGATTTTTTTAAAACTTTATTGACCCATTCAGCAAAAAAGGGTCATAATCATGGCGTCAATGCAGTCATTCTTGAAAAGGTTTTACAGATGGCTACCAAGGAAGTTGGAGCTTATGCATTTCAGTGTAAAAGTCAGACCTGGACAGAGGGAAAGATCATCTGATGCAAGTAGGACTAAAAAGATGTGATATTTTAAAAAAATGGGGGGGAGGAATATGTTTATAAATAGGAAATAAGTCACAAGAATAGGAAAACTATGTACGAGCTTATTACTGAGGAGTGCCTTGTATGGCATTTCTAGCTGAAGGTCTTAAAATACTTGAACCAAGATAAGTCCTACAACATCCTTATGCAATTAGTAAAGATGATCTTGATTTTACATGTGGAACAACCAAAGCACTGAGGTGCTGTTACCAGGGAGAAATTGTGCAATAAATGAAGGCTCTCTATTCCTTCCTACAATTTTTGTAGGAAGCTTGGAGCTGTTTCTCCAGTCTTCTCTCTCTGCCAGTCAGCAGTTCTTAAGCAACACCTTTCCACTCAGCCTCTGTTATTGAGAAGGAATTGAGTATGCTCCTAAGATAGTTTTATGTGTGTGTCTTGGTTTCCTGGTTAATGATGCAAATGCAATGTTACTGTTGGCTGTTCCCCAGCCCTGTGTGATACCTGGGTAAATCCTAATGAAATCATATTACGTACAACAACCTTTTCATATTTATTTGTCTTTAAGAATTGTGCTTGAATAGATGCTTGGTAGTGGATCAAATGACTAAGAGAATGTTGGGGGTTTTTTTACACACTGAACAGGTGTGTTTTTATTATGAAGTTCCATATTCCAAACTTCGTGCTCAGGAGATACATACTGAAAAAAACAAAGCCATTGTTAGTATTAACTTAAAAGACCTCTGGTATAAATTGAGTCATGTAAAAGCATGTTCTCTCTCTTTTTTTTTCTTCTTTTTATTCTTTCACTGTATTGTCTCAGTAATAGCATACAAACGTAGAATATCTGTTTCAATTCTTGATGATGAAAAACTTTTGACTTTAGTTTTTTTGTTAGTTCTTGAGTTAAAACCTCTATGTATGCATTTGCAATCTGATGAATGTTTTAACTCTGTGTCTCTCTAGGAATATTTGAGTTTTTGTGTGTATCCTTGTTTTTCTTTTTCTCTTTTCTTCTAGAAGTCTGCAAAAAGTGGAACAATTAGTAAAATAAGCAGAGGTAAGTACTGTATAGTCTGGTTTTGTTTCACTTGTGGTTGTCTTTTTAGAATAAATAAAATAGTTATGCTTTGGAAAGTGATTGTGTGAACAGTGCCTAAATGCTCAACAGCATTTTTAGTTAATTGCCAATTCCCAAATACTTTGTTTTGTTTTTTTTTTCTCTGCTGATGTAGTCTCTTCAAAAAGAAGCTTCTCAATCTTTGCAATTCTTGTAGTTAAGTGTTAATGTGCACTTGCACTATGAAACTTATGCATTGCTTTTTGTAGTACACAGCATGTTAAAATAAAATTTCATGATACTTAAGAGCTGTTCTGGTAAAAATTTAACATGCAACCGAATTTTACCATTCTGCTAGGCTCTCATAGTACTTGTAATAATTAGGATAATTATTACAAGTTGTTACAAGGCATTTATAACTTTGTAATATGCAGATTTAAGTATTTAAGAAACATGTCAAACATTAATAGGATACTGAGTGTTGAAATACATTTTTATTGGACATGTGAGAGAAATTGTGAGAGTAAGAGTTCTGCAAGCTTCTGCCTTTTCTGAAAACGAGTCTGATATCCTTCCAGCAAAAAAATTCCAGGCCTGAGATAAAGATTTGCAATCTCTGCACTGTAACCTAGTGCTGCCTCTGCTACACTATAGCAGGTTAATTCTTGAAGTGACTTGGACTGTTATGATACTTCTCACTCTTCTAAACCCTGAGCACTTGGGTCTGCTTGTTCTAAAAAGAGCCAGCTTGACCATGTCTCTGTTGCAGCAGTTTCTGAGTAGTTGTGAGTTCATTCTGACATCAAAGCTGAACACCAGGAAGACTTAGCATGCTGTTAGTGGAGTTGCTAATCAGAACTCTGGGTTTTGTTTGTTTGTTGGGGTTTTTGGACTTGGTTGGAAGCTCTGTCCCTAGCACAGATAACCACTTTTGTGGAAAATAATTAAGTCCATTGTCCCTATCCCATTAATCTTGTGTTTTGCCATTGCAAGGTCAGGACCTTTCTATAGAAGCTTTATTACTCTGTTTCCCTGTTCACCCATCCTTATCTGGTGTCAGAGAACGTCCATTTCCTCTTTGTGTTCTTCCATCTCTTTCTGTGGAATCTCATAGCACAGCGAGCTGCTGGTTGCTGCTTTTATCACTCCCAGCAGACCTGGTCTGTCTCACTTCATAAAACACTCAGGAAGGCATTGACAAACTTTTTTTTTTTTTGCTTTTGACAGTACTCAGTTTTCGTAAGTTTTAATATAATCTCATTACTTAGGAAAGTTATATTTAGGAACGTTCAATGGTACATTAGTGATGTAGCTACCATCTGTCATCTATTGTTTGTTTCAATGGGAGAACTCTTTAAAGCAGATGAACAAAAGTATTTTATGCAGCAGGTAACAAAATTTAGAAACTTGCTGCCACAGGAGGTAGTGGAAGCAGACCATACCAGCAATTTCAAGAGGGGACAAGTCCGTAAATGTGTGGTAAGATAAATAGGCAGCAATGTATCTTCTGGCATTTCCTAATACAATAGTTGTGGATGCTGTGAGAGTATGAGGAGCACTGGAGAAATGAAGGTCTTGTGGTGTCCCTAGTGTTTCCTATTGCTAATGTTAAAGACAATATATTAGACTAGATGGACCATTGGTCTGACATAATATATCATTTTTTGTGTTCTGTATCTTAAGAAAGAATTATTTTTAAAGTCTCTTTTAGCCCATTTCTGTGGGTAAAATAAAGGAAGAACTTGAAACAGAGAATGAAGGTTTTGATGGTTCTTAGTTCCTGTGATTTTTTTTCATTCTTCTTTTTCAAACTCTTATACAAGAATATTCTTTCTCCTTTACAAATAAGCTGTACTTTTGTAAGAAGGAAGCAGAGTTACCATCTGTTGTTCTACTTTCAGAGTTTTAAGGCATCTTTTTAAGTGTCCTTAGCCAAAGAGACAGATATCAACATCTTTATATCCTAGTCACTGGGAAGACAAGTGTAATACAGAGAAGACTGAACTTCATGTTCTTGTGGTCACTTTTTCTACCCAGCATGTGATGTAGCTTTCTGGATTGGCCGGTGTGCAAAGTTTCATGTACGGGTATGTTATAGTCCAACCAAAAGACTAGTGACGTGACTTACCAATGTTGGGTCATCATTGCCAAGCCACGGCAAAAAGTCTTGCCCTTCACAGGCGCCCTATTGGTGGTGTATTTGTCCCCAAATGGTAGGCCATATTGCTGACCAAAGGTATTTTCAACTTTTAGAATATTTGAATAACAAAAGCAAATCTCTTGTTGAAGTCAGGCACTGGCTATTTCAGGCTAGTGTACAATGATTTCTCCTCCTTTGGAAACTCAAGGAAGCATTGAGCTTGGGAGTGTGAGTTCTCTAGATTCCTTCTGCAGTCTGTGGAAAGAGGGGCACTTCCAGAGGGTGACTGAGATCCAAGGTGGGTTGAGTCATTCTCTCTGGAGATACTCCTCTCACTGTAAGAGTATCTACTAGCTTTTGGCTGCAGGGTGAGAGGGTATTTGGCTTGGGTTTTTTCTGTTTTGTTTTTTTTTTTTTAATGTCTATGTTAAATGAGAGAAGAAAAATGAGGCTTGAGGCTTTTTTTCTTGAATTTGATTCTTGCAAATATGGTGATGTTATACTTCCTCTGATCTGCCAATACCTGCAATATTCTGAAAGGATCAAAAGTATTTTTTACGGTTATATCCTTTTAATATCCTGCCTGGCCTAGTTCTGCATTTTGTCTAGGCTCTCTAGGAATTACTGAGGGAAATTTGGGTGGAATGCTGAGAACAACATGCAAGGTTGAAATAGGTTTTTTCTTTAGTATCAGGGCAAATGCGGAGGAGACGAACGTTGGGGTTTTTTTTAAGTAAGTGTTAAGACACAGCCTGAGTTCTGAAGTGGTAAGGAACATACTTTATGTATTACAAAACTATGAAAGGTGAGCGCAACTGGATACTGTTATTTCTCATGTCAAGAAGTAAAGAAGTGTACTAAAAATGTGGTGTGTTTGGAATTTATTTTAAAGGGTTTTTTTGGATGTTACTGAGGCAAGTGGTTTAGTAAAATTCAGGAAATAGAAATATTGGAAATATTCAAATTGTGTTGAGAGAGAGTGTTTGAAGTTAGGATGGCTTTCAGTTCTGCTGCAGGCCATAAACATAATCAGTCATGACAATGCTTATTGCATACATGATAAATAAATAAGCATGCACACACAGATGAGACTGTGTGTCTCTGTCTATATATATGTATACACTGCCTTTAATTTGGAACAATCCCAGTAACTTTTGCGTAAACACAAATTGTGGTTCTTAGCGTGAGAAAACTTTTAACTGTGGAAACTTTATACTAAGTACGATAATTTAATTTGCTCAAAATATAAGAACTAAAAGGTCCTGATGAGGAGTTTCGGGTTGATTTTAGAGTTGGCATAAAAGGGGGAGAAGGCCTACAGAATACGCAAGTGGCCTAATTTTTTTTAAACCCAAATCAGAAGCTGAGTTTTTTGACCTACATGGTAAGGTCTCCGGTTTGTGAGTCACGGGTGCTTCTGCGGTTCAGTTTTTGTCTGACTAAATAATGAGACATTTTGTACTTTCTCACTGGAACTAAAACCCTGTTTTCATTGTACAAATATTCCACTTAGTCTCAAACAAATTAATTTATTTCCATCATTTCTTAGGAAAGAAAAACCAAAAGAAGAGAGAAGCTATATTTAATCACCATTGACAGAGCTGTCAGTGGCATTCTTTTACCTATTAGAGGCCAGTGGTTAGACTGCATCCTGGTTGTTTTAAAGTCATAATTGTAATTTTTGCTGAAATGGTTTGGACTATGTCACACATACTCCAGGAAGTATGTAAGTCGTCATGGAATGCTGTCTTTTCTGTTGATGCCTATTCTACCTTTATATTGATGTGTTTAAACATTCAGCAGGTCAGAGGCATGGTTCTGGATGCCCACTGTTTCAGGAGAGTTAAGTAATTAGGAAGCTCAGGAGCCATTTTCACTCTTCTCCATTTCTAGAACAACAGGAGAGAATGGGGAAGACTCACCTCAGAATATACTTGCAGCCTGCCAGTTGAGACTGACTTGGAACACCCAAACTGCCTCACGGATGAGAATTTGGGTATCTTGTATCCTGGGTGAATGCTTTAACCTCTGGCTAGCAGAGGAAGGCTAGCAGGCATCATCATCTTATGTTCTTCTAGGAGCTTTTTTACTCTTTTTTTGGAGCGGGCTGAAATGTTTCTTCTAAATTTTTAGTAGCTTTGAGTTGACCAAAACAGCTTTTTGTGGTTAATAAAGTTTGAAGAAAAAAAAAAAAAGTAGTTAATCCGTGCTTGTCATTATACTGCAATTCTTATCTTCCAAATAGCAGTATTTCCTCATTGCCATCTTTTTAACTGATTTAGTGATAATTCCTAAGGAGATGTATTTTGCACAGGCCCATTGTATACTTGCTAAACCACACATTACTGTTTATGGCTTGTTAAAAAGTTTTTTAAGCGTGCATTCTGTTTAGCAATGAGACGCAGTTGTGATAAGACTTGGGAAGGTTGTGATAAGACTCGGAAGTTTCAGCGTTCCCGTTACCCAATTTTTATTTTTTCATATATATTTTTCTTTTCTGTGAACTTGCAGTATCTTTCCAATCAATGAGCATTTGAGATTGTTAAAATTATTTTCCAGATACGTAAATGTCTTAGCGAAATAAAAGAGAACAGAAGACGCAAGATAAATAAAGTATATCAGTAGCTCTTTTACATATTAATCTTCCAAAAGACTCCATTCTTTGTCATGCTTAGTTGTCTTGTCTCAACTTGAGAAACAATTTAGGTGTTTAAAATTATATATACTTTCTGTCAAAATTTTAATACACTGATTATTTCTTCTAATGAACTAGTTTAAAGTGGCTATAGCAGAGGAAACTATTGCCATTGGATTAAAGCAGTAATGCCAAAGTAGTTATTAGATTACTCTTAGAAAGTATTCTGTTGTGGAATATCACAGCTGTTATTAAATGTACCATAAGTGAAACACTGTAATTTAGATGCTTGCATATCTGTAAATGTACTGATACTGAAACAGTAATTATATAAAACAATATAGTTTTTGCTTTTAATCTCTGGGGATATTTTCAGTGTTGTGCATGTAGATTTCGCCCTTTGACTCTCACTAGCATCACTGCAGTGTAATTTGAATTTTTGCGCTCATTTTAATTTTTGCACAGGAAATCTAGCAAATTCCTTCCTAGATAGCAAATAGCTGCTATTCAGATATTTTTATTGTGCATGGGTTTTTTTAAGCAGTTTGTTGGGTGGGTCAGAGCATGAAGGAATGCTGCATGGGAAAAAATGTGAAATTGGAACTGGTACCTGTGTCAGTGCTTATGCCATCTGCGCAACTTTATCACCAGAAACCTCACGCAATTTGACATTTTCAGAGTTTGTCTTGGTGAATAATTGAGGGAAAAGCGTATCAGGGAAAAACAGAAAAACATTTAACTGCAGCTTTGAGCTGTCATAGGTCTAAATTAACAAGTAAGTGTTCAGAGGAACAAAGGAATGTAATCGCTGGTCAGGTCTTGTACATGGCAATCTTCTCATAATCTTAGCAAAGATATTCGGGGTTAATGCTCTTCTTGTTGCCACTGTTTTTCCTGTGATCCTTCATCATGTGCTCAGTTTTACTCTTTTTGCTTGAGACTACTACTTTCCTTTTTTGGACATTTATTCTCCATCTTTGTTCCACTGTTCTTCGCTCATTCTACTCTATTTGCGAAGTTAGCATTTTTAACCTAGGGGTCAAGATCTTGATGTGAAACTAGGATCTTTTAGGTTGACTTGATCTACGATGCAAGAATATACATTTTGAAAATAAATATTGCATGAAGTAAAACTTGAATTTACACTGCAGTGAAATTGCAGATTAAAAGTGTTGAAATACTCTGCTGCCTGATGAGAACCTTCACATGCTTCCTCTGAGGTGCTCTGTCCTTGGGATGTTTATCTTCACACAGACGTTGCTGGTAGTAAAATCTGGCAGCTTTCAGTCAGCCATGGCTCTCTGGATTTTCTCTACTGAACTTTCATCCTGGACTGTCTTCAATTTGACATCTATATCTCCTGGAAAATTTGGTTTCAATGGAATGCCACTAACTGGTCTCCTAGAAGTTTTATATCTTTAATCTCTCTGTCAGCTTTTATAATGTTGACTATGATGGTGGTCTTGCAGTTCTGCTTTTCTGACATTTGACTCCTGCGTCTTTTTTGTTACCTGTATAGTATTTTGGTGTGCACCTTGTTCCTTCTCCACATTTTTTGACACTCTGTGCAGATCCCATGGGACTTCATCTTTGATTCCTTTCCTTTTGATACTGTCTTGCCTTGGAGTGATGTCATCTGTAAACGTTAACTCAGCAGCCATTTCTGTGCTGGCTCCTCCTTGGATTAACCAGAATCTGTTATCTCTTATGCCTGATCTGACTGTCACCTCGAGTGACAGAATTTAAGTGCAGTTCTCAATCCCCGCCCACCTTCCCCAGATGTTGTCTCCTTATCTCCTTGAACACTCAACATCACTACTATCTTTTTTATTCCTTAGGCAGCAATTGGTCAGTCACTTACTTGTATCTCTTAAGTCGTTATACCCTGCATTTCCTTGTCTGCACACTTTCTGCATAGTATCTATAAAGTTCAGCCTTTTCTGGCAAACCAAACAGACACTGCAGTATAGTGTCTCCTCATCTTACATTTTGCTACTTAGTGTTACGGTCTTGGGTGGGTTATGCAGCATAGGTCAAACTTGTTAAGAATTTTGGAAAGGGCATCTGTTCTCTTCCTTTCACCTTCTCATCCTCTGCAGTGTTCTGCTTCTGAATGGGATCAATTCCACCTTGTTTTTCTTAGCTTTCAAAGTGCCGAGAGATTATTCTGTCTACTACCGTCAAGAAAATTTGGCTATCTTCAGCTTCTCCATGGTATCAGCCTTAATCACCTACTTGTATTTTTTAATAAGCATTTTTTCTGTCCATAAATGTTTGCAAAGCTACTTTGTTGTTTTCTCACAGTCTCCTCTCCTGGTGAAAGTTCTTAACTGTGGTGCCTTTAAACACTGTGAGCGCACATTTGAGGTGTTGATGCTGTCTTATCAGATAAAAGTAGTACCTTTATTGTTCTCACGAGTCTCTCTCCATCTGATGTTTGTTTCTGGGTAGGGTTTTAAGCTCTTTATTACGGAAGCATCTTTTCCATTTCATGTTGATCCGTTGCCTAGTGAGGGGAGATTCTGGTCTATGACTAACACCTTATAACTCTGCTAATAAGGAATGCTGGTGTGTTGGAGAAAAAGGAACTTAATGAATGTGGCTGCTGTGAACTGCGGGCATAGGTTTCTTCATTGCTGCAGATCTCCTAGTCATGTCATACTTTTTATGTGTTAATCCTTAAAAGGACTGGTTTGGATTTTTTTGTCTGTTAAATTATGCCTTTTTATTATTTCATTAAATGTTTGTATAACTAAAGAAATAGCTTGCTGTGTAATAGATCCCACGCCCCACCCCACCCCCTGGGTTCTCAGTAGCTGTGGAGCAAAACTGAAAATAACTTCTTTTGTCTTTAAATCTTCTTATTTTCTGGTTCACAGAATTAAAAGAAATTGTATTTATCATCCAGAGTCAAAGTAATTCTTTTCATTCCAAGAGAGCAGAAGATCTAAAAAGAGATATTTTAAAACAGGCTGCAGATCTTGGAAAGGTATGTTTAGATAATATAGATTGCACCTTGTTATATATGTTTTTACTGCATTTTACTAAAAATACAGTTTTCTGTTGTGCCTTTTTTGGATCCATTTTATTAATTGTTTTCTGTGTGCTTATAAGATAACTATTTCAGTGTGTGTTTGTTGATTGTATGCCATGATGTATCGCCAAATAATTTTAATTTGAACTACCTACCTTTTTGTGTAATAACTGTTTTTGTTTGGATGGCATTCGATGTAAAAGTGATAACAAGAAAGAGTTGTAGTGTGCCTTTAAGAAAAAGTCAGATGCTTTCTTTACAAAGTGAAAAATATAATAATTTAAGCAATACTTAGAATAATTTTAGGTGAGTATTTTATTAGAGCCAATGAAGATGCTGTAAAGTAAATTTTGTCAGAATTTCATTGTGCAACTGTAGCATTGTGGCAGTAGAGCAGTAACGTACGTGGACATTAAAATCTTGACAGAGGATTCCCTGCTTCCTACAACAATAATCTTCCACACCTCCCTTGCCCATGTCGTATTAGCTCCCTCCCTGGTGCAGTACCTTCCCTAACTACTTGTTCCTCTGCCACCCCGCTGCAGACTGAGCACTCTGCCTCTCACCTGCTGGTGAGCCATGCTGGCCTGGGAGCTGCATGTTGTACAGGTCGGGTTTTGATTTAGTGCTCTAATACAAAATTTTACTTGTGAAGCTTTAGCCTAGAGAGAAGAGGGTTTTTGATAGACTTATATTGAAAGTTAAGTTTACATAAATGATGCTTTATTTTCTTTGTCTTTAGTAAAAATAACAAAAAAGCAGAGGTATACATCCCCTGATATGAAATAACTTGCTGTGAGGTTGTTGGACCTATTTTTCAATTTAATGTTCTTTGTTGTAAAGGAAAAAGGAGTCTGATTTAAATTGTCTTATGTATCTTTGCCTTGAAGTGCCTAAATCAGGTTCCTGGACATTTTTAGGCTTCATTTATCCAAGCTTATCAAACCTGTTGTAAGTAAATCCATTCTAAATGCAATTTTTAATCCCTTAATGAAATCAGTCAAGTGAATAGCCTTTGTTCTGCAGAGTTCTGCTCTTTCAGAGTCCTTTTGGGGATTGAGACAAGTGTTCAGATACAATATGTGTGGAGGGGGATTATGGCTTCAGTTGTTTAAACCCAGGATTTTAGTTGAGTTCTGTAATTGATGTTGCAGAATGTGAGTGATGAAAAGATCAGTAAGTGGAGAAATAAATAAAGATCAACAAGTGGAAATATAAATAGTTTCAGTGAGGCAGGAATATGGGCATATTTTATGGCAGTGGTAAAATATTTTTGTAATCAATAAGTTGTACCTGTGAGTACTTTTGCCTTGAGTAAACTGAACTGGCTTTTAAAAAACTGTATTGTCTAATTAAGGAGATTCCTTTATTGGAATGCTGAAATGGTGATGCTTTTCCAATATTAAGAGGTACCTGTTAGACAGCATTCATGGCATCTTAGAGAAGCAGTGATGGAAATATATCACACCAAAAATCTCATACCTGAAATGTGGGAAAGGGGAAAGCCATCAATGTACAGAAAAATATGAGCATAGCCAGCATGTACTTGGCATGTCTTGATTGTTTTTTGTCAACTCGCAATGCCACCGTAGGCCACTACGAGGCATGACCCAATAATGCTAATTATGGAGAAGATACAGAAGGTCTCTTAAACTAATTCTGCATATCAACATTTGAAGTTCGCATTTTTCATTAAAAAGAATACAAATGAAATAATTGCTTTCAGGCCAAGGAATTTAAATCCTTGTGTTTTAAAAGACAACTGCTGTATAGAAACGAAGAACTGGATCAACTGAATCATCAGGTTCACTGGCTTGTTGTCGCAGGATGAAACGGTAGATGTTTTGTCCATAAGTATTCATTATTTATTATTTTCCTCTGTTTTAAAATGAGAAGTGGGAGCCAACTGTTAGATTTATGCTATTTAATGAAACTAGAATACCTGCATTGCTTTAGAATTGATTAAATCACATTCATATTTACTTTGCATTAATCTTTACAAGTAATTTGTCCATTTATTTTCTTTCACTATGTACTTAAAACATTTTTTCCCTGTGAAACTAATTTATAAATCTAGTCACCAGTAGATGTCAGTGCTGTGTTCATGCTTAAAAGCATATTCCATAGCGATATACTGAATATTAACCAAAACTCTTAATTTAGAACATAGCAACAAAGAAAATTCCTTAATATTTTTTGCCAATTTTTCATGATTTTCTGAAATTTCTGAGCATTTAAGAAACTCTGTAAACTAGGCCTTCCTAAGAAAACACCAGATAAGAATAAGGAAGCTGTCAGAGTGTGAAATGATAATATTTGGGACTGTTTCCTTTCTGTCTTTTTAAAAAATTGAAAACCAGATTTACATTTTTGTCTGTTATATTTACAACTAGAAAACAGGTAAAATACAGTTTTTGAAAAATGACAATTTTGTCTAAAATACTTTTTTAGGTGAAGTTAATGCTATTTAATTGCCTGGGATTGTGACATTGTTTTGATTGATTCGTTGCTTGAGTGAATACTTGCTTTAGTTAACATCTTCATTACATTTTCATAATATTGTTTCTTTGTCAACCTCCCAATTTCCAGTTTGGCTAACATGAAAATAGGTGACAAATGTTGGGAGCATCCTGTTAGTTGTGTTCTTGTTTATTTAAAACAATTTTGCAAAACCCTGTTTCCTGAAGCACACAAAAATGATCAGCAGCCCAGCTGGCCTGTGCAAGTGGTCTGTGCCTCAGAAGTTCAGTCTCTTTGTTATTTTACAGGATCCTACCTACAGAAGGTTCTGTTTTTTTGCTTCCAACACAAATTGACTGTAACTCGGTATCCTAGCTGCTGGATCTATAAGGTTGAAAAGCCTCTTGATGCCTATCTCAGCTTTATTTTATTATGTCATTAGATTCACGGCCACAGTATCTGTTGCCAAAGTGCCAGTTTTTGTTGAGCATGGCATATGTGCTTTAAAAATCTGTTATTTTTAATTGCCTAGGCTGTACTGATGGCAGCATTGCACTATTTCAATAATATGGAAGGTTTCTTTGTTAAAGTGTTGGATGGGGAAAAAAAGTATAATTAATTTGCCTGAATTTTATGTATATATGTTAAGCCATCACCATATTCCTATCTGAATGATCTGTCCCCAAATTGTTCTGCTCATGTTTTGGCCATCTGTGAGAGACTACTTTCAGGGAATTTGTAGACTGTATCTTTTTTTTCTTAATTTGCCAGTGGGACATAATGGAAACAACTCTGAAAATGTGTCTAGGTTTTTCTTGGGCTGTAGTAGTTCTTTCCTTATTTTATTCCTTGTTAGATGTACTCCACAAATGACCAGGCATACTTCTTCTTCCTGACCTACAACAAGCTCTATAGCTAAAATTTCCCAATGGCTCTTGGAGTAGGTCTGAACTGTTCCCTTACTGTAAAGCTCATATGCATCTTGTGGTTATAAAATGTAGTGGAAGGATTGCCCGTTCACTGCAACTGAGCATGTTTTAAACTGATCTGTATATTTAGATGAAATATTCATAGACTTAATTTGCTTGAGACCTTTCAAAGTTAATACCATAAATGCAGTGCAATCCATAATGTATCTGTTGCTTCAACTTTCAGATTACTTGCTCAAATTCTAGATTCTAGTCCGAAAACCCTGTTTCCTCCTCTCCCTCCTATAATGGCTTCCCATGCCATGGAAACTGCTTTCCAACTGAGGCTGATCAGATGATTCATTTTTGGATCTTGCAGTTTTAACAAGGTTTAACTGATTACATTTAAGTGAAGTGTTGAGCTACATTCTCTCCTGCCCCTCCATGTCCATGTCTACTGCAGTTTGTCTTTTTGGCAAGGTTTTCTACAACGTCAAGGCCAACCCTTTTTTTTTAATTGGAACAGGTATGTTTTATGCATAATTTTAAATTATTTTGTTTCCCAGTGTTATTAAATCTAGTGGGTTTTTGTGGTGGGTTTTTTTGGGTTTTTTTTTTTTTTTTGTTTTTTTGTAAAATGTTAGCATGCAATCTGTTTCCTTCCTATCAACAGCTTTCTTTTCTTCTGCCAGGATTTAGTCACGTCAAATAAATCCTGTAGCCTCATGAAATGTGCTTATCGCCTTAGTTTCTAAAATGCTCATTCCTTAAGATGTAAGAGTTTATCTTGCCAGGCAGTGGACAGTTTTTGTTGCCTTTATTTATGAAAAACAAGGCTCTCCGGCATACCTTCTCCATTAGCTTTCTGTTGCTTTTCCTTTTTTGTAGAACAAAGATCAGATGCCAGTCTATACGAGAGGTGTTGGGGAAGATACTGTCATGTCATCTGTGATACTAATCTTGTACGCCACTCTACTTGGCTCAGATCCTGCTGGTCTTTGTCTGATCAGCAAGACTCTTTCCACAGCAAAATGATGAATGTGGCACATGACTGGCAATAGACCGTGTGAAGGTATCTTGCTGAAATGACAAATCCCACACTTCTCTGTGGCGAGGGCAGAGATGATGATGGGTACCTGGAGCATCTGGCACTCTTACTTACTCAAAGAAGTGAAGTCCCTTCAGGGGGTCCCTCACGGACTCAAAAAATCAGAGTAGAATCATAGAATCGCTTTGGTTGGAAAAGACCTTTAAGATCATCGAGTCCAACCGTTAACCTAACCCTGCCATCCCACCACTAAACCATATCCCTAAGCACCTCATCTATCCTTCTTTTAAAT